TTGGTACTCAAAATCATGGAGACAAGGACATTATAAATATCTAGACAGATTAATAATGTAGCACCAAAGAGGAACACAAGTCAGTTATTATTAATGCCAATATCAAATGCTATCTTGAGCAGCAGACAAGATCATTTCACTCTGCCTCAAGAAATTTAGAGATCAATGAAGCCCCACACATGGAGTGGCCAACCTGGCCTTAGAGTCAAAACATTTAAAAGTGCTAAATAATCTGAAAAATGCGCTATCTTTTCATTTTATTTTTAAATCAATGCTATTTCTCTCCTCTTTGACTTGGTAAAGAAAACGGACCTGTGGCCTTAGCGTGGGGCAGTCAATTTATGGTGACTGACCTTGGTGGAAATAATTACAGAGCACCTTACCCAGAGTCGAACTAGAGGGATAGAAGCTAAAATGAAAACCTAATATTGGAAAGAATTGATCAGTCTTCTTTCTCTCTGTCTCTGGAGCCTACTCAAAGCTCATTTATTGGAAAGATTGATGGCAAGGTAGAGACTGTGGGACTAGTACAGGCTCACTGTGCAATGCACTTAAATGATTAGGGAATATTGGACACCTTAGCTGGAGTCAGCTGTTTGTCCTTCAGTCTCAGAGTTGCAGAGTGCTGCCTGCCAGTTGTACATCAGAGCAGTTAAGCAGACCCTTAGATGAGCCATTTAGTATTGATGATAGTGCAGTAGTCCTGAGCTGATCAATAGCATCATTCCTTCTCTGCCTTGGCTAAGAGCTAAAGAGACTAGTTGGTGCATATGTGATGACTAGAATTTAATTATACATCAGATTGATTTTCAGTTAGAACACAAGGGAGCTGTTTGCCAGAATTTCAAATTGGTGAGCAAGTCCCTGTCTCCTGAACAACGCTTTCTTCTCCCCAGTTTCCTGCCCCACATGGAAAAGTGCACAAACTATCATCAACCCTTCATCTACGAATGAACAACTTGTATGCTGCTAGGCTATGGACAGACAGACTTTACACATACACCAATTTAAGTGATCAGAAACTGGTTTAAACCTGTAACAGAACAGACATTCAGTGCACATAAATCAGTTTGAAAACGGCTGAAACCAGTTTGAGATAAACCTGGTTGAAAGTAGTATCAGATTTAACTGATGTGGCTCAAACCGGTTTATGCAATGTCTGTCCCTGACCTTTTGCTGGTTGAAGACACCCCCAGCATACCAGCATGCTCTCCGGGCTGGGCAGGGCTCTCTACTCCACAGCAGAGCTGGCCCCCAGCACCATGCCAGCTCTGGAGGAGCTGCTGGGCTGTGCTGGGATCGGGACTGGGGCCTACTGTGCCTGCCCCTTCTCCAGCACCCGGTGTCATTGCCTGGGGCCAGCAGCCCCGCACCGCCTGGTGGGGCCCAGAGCCGGGGGCTGCACCACCAGGCCAGAGAGGACAGAGCCCTTGGGACCCGCATGCCTGCCCTGAGTCATCCACAGGAAGAGTCCAGTGCAGACTGGCAGCTCCTCCAGAGCTGGCATGGTGCCAGGGAGTGGGGGGGTGGGGGAGAGGGAAGTGGGCTCCTAATCTTTGCCCAGGGCAAGGGCCGGCTGCAGCTGGGCTCAGCCTCTGCTCCCTGTGTCCACACCTTGCTGCTGCCGTTTGGCTCCCTGGTGCTGCGCTACCTCTGGAGGAGCCACCAGGCTCTGATTGCCCCCATGACCTGGCCTGGCTGGGAACCCGTTCGGAGTTCGATGGTTCATTCAGAGGCATGGGCAGTCAGCTCCTGCCACTGTGTGCACTGTAGGGGAGCCAGAGGAAGGTGGGCATGTCCCCATTCCCTTGCCTCTCTTGCACCGCACCCCTGCACGAGCCTCTGGGCTCTGATTGCCCTACAACCTGGCCTGATTGGGGCTCCATTCACCACAGATGGGGTCCCAGCTGGGTTGTGTTGTGGGACAATCCGAGCCTGGCGGCTAGTCCAGGGTCCCATCTGCAGGCTGCTGACTAGCCAATCGCGTGCCACCAGAGGCGGGCACAAAACACTCCCACCCTGCCATTCAAACAGGTGGGGGTGGGGAAACGCTACAGTGTGCTATAAGTAAAAATGATTTTTATACTCTATACTATATAGTATTCAAGTCCCTAACCCTCTTTTCCCCATAAGCCTTTAGTTTTACCAACCGCGATTTTGCCAACCACAGGAACCTAACTCCCACAGTTGGCAAGGGAAACTTGTATTATCATGATCTCATATATTCTCCAACACAACAGTTTTGAATTCTGCAGCAAGACCCCATATTTCTTTGGAAAATACTGGATCTGTATTTATTTCCCATCAACCAAAGGCAGAGCAATAATTCCTAAAATTGAGCAAACGTACCACAAACTCATATAAGTAGTTATCCTACAAGTAGTCAGCAGCCTAACTGAGCACAAAGCCTTGTTGCATAGTCTGAAATTCATATTGGCTAAGTACAGACAGTTAGAAAGCCTAAGGCTGACTCGATTCAATCTTTGCAGGTTAGTTTAAGCTGCATAGATTGAACTGATAAGCAAGTGAACAGACATTTACTTTTGATTCTGGAAATGCAGCAACATGGCCAAAGTGGCCCAGGCCAGAAGCTGGGGGGCACTAGAGCACGCCTCCCTGCTCAGCTGGAGCAGACACCCTAGGCCAAGGCTAAGGCTAGTCGACCCACCATGCAAGGGGGAGTTTGCAAGGGAGGTACAATGCATCCTGAGATACTGGAGGACTGAGTTAACTTGAATCTGGAGGGGATCTGGAACAGAAGTCCAAGAAACTGATTTAACCAAAATCAGTTAAGTCTGATAATATATCCATCCAGGTTTATCTTAAACCAGGTTCTGTGTTAGGAATGTCTATATATGTGCCCAGGGGCACAATGAGATCGATAAGGGTGGGGGGGGTTTTGAGGGGGCAGGGGTTGTTTGTTTTTTGCCTTACTATGTACATCACAGGCTTCAGGAAAACTCAAGCAGATAAAACAGTGGGAGCATCTCTCTCAGCATTCCTGAGACCAACAGCTTATTATGTCACATCCATGACTTATAAGCATATTCTTATAAGCATGTTCTGAAAGCAACCCAGTGGCATTCATGTGCAGTCTGCAGAAACGGTCATATGTGGACACAACATTATGATGGGGATAGCTGAGCTATCCTATCTCCCTAATTTGCAAAAGAAAAATAGGCACATGCTGGCCTGACCATTTCACCATCCCCCAAAATTCAATCTGGAAGAAGTTTTGAAGTCTCAAGTAGATATTTAACACCTTTGGCACTATTCTTGTAGATTGTGTATCTGTAGAACACAGGACTGGAAATGAACTCCCCAGGTCACCAAGTCCAGTCCCCTGCAGTTGCAGATAGTCATCTAACAAACATTTGTCCAAAAAAGGGCCACAAGGACATCCACTTCCCCCCTTCTAGCCATCACGAGCCACAAAGCACCTGCTAACTAAAAACCCTACCTAGTGCCGCAGGAAGAAAGCAGAGCGGATAAAAGGGACCATCAATACAGTGGCAATGGCAAGGAATTTCTATGTAAAATATGGTCAGATGATCCTGGGAACTGGACCTTGCCTTACACTATGGATAAAGGAAAGCCTGTACCCACCTAGACAGTCTAACCCAAGAAAAAATCCTTCCTGACTCTCAATCTGGCATTCAGTTTACCCCAGAATATATGAGCTAGACCAGTGGTGCTCACTGTTTTGGCCCCAGAAGCTAGATCAGGCCCCACACTGCTCTGATGTCCTGGGATTGAGACTTGCGGCCCTGCTGGGCCACCACTGTTCAGCCCCACCTGGCCAACATCAATCCCCAGGGGCCCTGCACAACTTCTGCTCAGCCACAACATGCTATGATTAGGCCTCGCATTGCCCTCTGTGCCCCATCTAACATGCAGGGCCATGGCTCATGGGGCTCCCCACAGATGTCTCGGGAGCCTCGCAGGCCAGATAACATGGTGCTAGGGGACAGATCTGGCCCGTGGGCTACGAGATGATCACCCCTGACTTCACAGGTGACTTGTATGCGGGGCACGCGGGTAGAGGGCATGTGCCCCCCCCCCCCCCCCCCC